TGAAAAAATTGTCAAAAAATTCCTTCCTACACAAAAATGTATTCCCAAAATGTCCCAAAAATCTCAAATATTTTTCCTTATTGAAAATAAGAGCAAATACGAGTTTTTTGTCCTTTTTCCAGTGTAAATATTTACAGATGTTTGGGTTTTTCGTAGCGGTTTTATTGGCGCCAAATTCAAAACATAAAACTGAAATTGCAGTTTTTTTTCTTCTGAATTTTTTTTGATGAAGTTTTTTACTGGATTTTGAAATTTTGAAATTACAAAAAAATCTAAAGAATTTAAAATTTCGAGAATTCTGAAATTGAGAAATTGAGAAATTCAGAGAATTCAGAAAATTCTGAAAATTCTGAAAACCTGAAATCCCGAAACTCTGAAAATCTGAAATCCTGATATTCTGAAATTCTTAAGTTTCGAAATTCCGAGTTTGTGAAATTCTGAAATTTTGAAAATTCCAAAAATTCAGAAGTTCTCAAATTTTGGAAATTCTGAAATTCAAAAATTCAGGAATTCTGAATTCTGAAAATTTGAAATTCTGAAATTCAGAAAGTTCGGAAATTTCGAAATTCTGAAATTCAGAAATTCAGAAATTCAGAAATTCAGAAATTAGAAATTCAGAAATTCAGAAATTCAGAGATTTTGAAACTCTGAAATTCAGAAATTCAGAAGTTCAGAAATTCAGAAAAAAAGAACAAATCGAGGCTAAAGGAAAATGGAAATGCGGATTCTCGAAAATCGAAAATCCCGAATTCTCAAGTACTTGTTCTTCAATGATGACCCCCTTTTCCCTTTTTAATATGATGTTTGTTTTCTTAGATTTCCTCATTTTTTTCTTTGGAATTTCAGAATTTCAAAATTTGCATTTTGAATTTTTCAGAAGCCTTATTTGTCAACTTCCAGAATCCTAGATCCCTCTTTTCCAAAAAATTCAACTTCAAAAAGTTTGTGAAATTCTGAAATTTTGAAAATTCCAAAAATTCAGAAGTTCTCAAATTTTGGAAATTCTGAAATTCAAAAATTCAGGAATTCTGAATTCTGAAAATTTGAAATTCTGAAATTCAGAAAGTTCGGAAATTTCGAAATTCTGAAATTCAGAAATTCTGAAATTCTGAAATTCAGAAAATTCAGAAATTCAATAATTCAATAATTCAAGAAATTCAGAAACTTCTGAAATCCTGAAATTCTGAAATTTTGAAATTCAAAAAATTTAGAAGTTCTCAAATTCTGAAATTTTGATATTCTGAATTCTTAATTTCGAAAATTCGATATTCTGAATTTCTGAAACTTTAAAATTCTGAAATTCTGAAAAATTCAGAATTTACGAAAATTCGGAAAAATTCCAATTTCTGCACTTTCCGTGCCAGATCTTTGGGATTGCCCAAATATCATTCATTTTTGTTTTCACTCTCTAATCTCTCACACATTGCTCAGCTTATCATTCCATGATTCACATGGAAAAGTTTATAAATTTCTAATCACCAAAAAACGGAAAATTTTTTCCTTAATCTATTTATCATTTTCTGAACAAAAACACTTCTTTTTTGCGATGTATACACCAGATTTTTTCTCTCATCTGTTCTACGTAATCACTGATACTACTAGTTAGTGATAAGATGAGCTCAGAGAGAAAGAGAGAGAGAGAGAGACGCAGAGAGAAAACAGAAAGAGATTCTTCTTTTAGTATTATTAGTATTATTCAGTGTCACATTTCTTTTTGCTTTTTTTTGTTGAATACTTTTTTGACATTTTTTGTTGTAGTCAGAAAAACAAATATCTTTTCTCTGAACATCAAAAATGTTTGAAAAATATTTTCTGAATTTCTGAATTCCTGAATTTCTGAATAGCGTAAAACCTGAATTAAAAGGGGCGGCTTTTCTATTGTTCCAAGGCACCTCCGGAGGGCCCTTCTATTAGAGGGGCTCTTTAATTAGAGGGGACCCTTCTATATTTTTTTTTCTGAAATTTCTAGAAATTGGCGGCAGTGAAAAGCTTCATTTTGTTGAAAAGTAAAACGTTTTAAAAGTTCGTTGAAAAATGGAAAAAAAAACGAATGAAAAAGTGAACAAAGCAATTCGGGGACAAAGTAGAAGAGAGATCAAAAATATATAATTTAAAAAAAAACAGAAAATACCGTAAAACCTGTATTAGAATAGCCGTTCCAAGGTACCTCCGGAGGGCCCTTCTATTACAGGGGCCCTTCAATTAGAGGGAGACCCTTCTATTACAGGGGGCCCTTCTTCCCTTTTCCGAGCCCCTCTCGGACGGCTCTTCTATTAGAGGTGCCCTTCTATGATTTTTTCTAATGCAGGTTTTACGGTACCTAAATTTCTGAACTTTTGAATTTAAAAATTTTTTTCATATTCTGAATCCCCGAATTCTCAATTTTTCAAAGATTATGAATCATTATTTTTGATTATTTCAATTTTTATTTAAAAAAATTGTAGTTTTTGACTACAAAAAAATTTACTTTTCGTAGTATTTTCCCTAATTTTTTTTGTTTTTTGTCGCACAAAAAAATTTGTGGTGCTTCCGAGAGACAACAGATTTTTCTGACGTTTTTCTAGTAGTATGTGACGAATTTTTGGGAAAAAAAATGTCTGAAATGCCTGAAAAAACGCGAAATAGTGACAGGATTAAAAATTTGGAATCTTAAATGATCATTTTTTGATTTTTAACGAATGAACAATATTTTGGAAGGCAGTAGATTTTTTATTGGAACCATTGGAGAGCTAGATTTTTAGAAATTCAGAAATTCAGAAATTCCGGAAGCTCAGATATTTCAGAAATTCAAAAACTCAGAAATTCAGAAATTCAGAAATTCAGAAATTCAGAAATTCAGAAATTCAGAAACTCCGAAATTCAAAAATTCAGATTTTCTGAAATTCAGAAATTCCGAAATTCTGAAATTCAGAAATTCAGAAATTCAGAAATTCAGAAATTCAGAAATTCAGAAATTCAGAAATTCAGAAATTCAGAAATTCAGAAATTCAGAAATTCAGAAACTCCGAAATTCAAAAATTCAGATTTTCTGAAATTCAGAAATTCCGAAATTCTGAAATTCAGAAATTCCGAAATTCAGAAATTCCGAAATTCAGAAATTCCGAAATTCAGAAATTCCGAAATTTAGAAATTCTGAAATTCAGAAAATCGGAAAATCAGAAATTCAGAAATTCAGAAATTCAAAAAATCGAATGCCTTATAATTGAATATTTCGGAAGATCTGTAAAAATTCAGAATTATTTTCTGAAAAATCAGCATTTTCAGCAAATTTTGAAAACTCGAAATTTTAGAAAAATGGATTTTTCATTTTATCAAATTTTCAAAATCTCTTCCAACAACAAAAAAAGTTTTGGAAAAAGAGAAAAACCGTATCCAAAAAAAGGGGACTGTCGGAATAGTGAAACTAGTGGTGACGACAGATTTATGGGCAGAAAGAAAAAGATAATGAAATGGAACGGATTGGATTGGAAATAGAGGGATTTATGGGAAAAGTTTCTGCCATTTCTATATGGAAAACCTGACGGGATTAGTTGAGAAGCAGGCGAGATATTTGTATTGTTTCTAATTTTTTCTGTTTTCCAAATGTCTGAAATTCAGAATGTTCGAATTTCTAAATTTCCAAGTTTTCGAAAATTTGACATTCCGATTTTTTGAATTTCTGAATTTCTGAATTTCTGAATATCTGAATTTCTGAATTTCTGAATTTCTGAATTTCTGAATTTCTGAATTTCTGAACTTCTGATCTTCTAAATTCCTGAATTTCTGAATTTCTGAATTTCTGAATTTCTGAATTTCTGAATTTCTGAATTTCTGAATTTCTGAATTTTTGAATTTCTGAATTTCCGAATTTCTGAATTTTCGAATTTCTGAATTTCTGAATTTCTGAATTTCTGAATTTCTGAATTTCTAAATTTCTGAACTTCTGATCTTCTAAATTCCTGAATTTCTGAATTTCTGAATTTCTGAATTTCTGAATTTCTGAATTTCTGAATTTCTGAATTTCTGAATTTCTGAATTTCTAGATTTCTGGATTTCTGGATTTCTGAATTTCTGGATTTCTGGATTTCTGGATTTCCAAAATTCTGATTTCCAGATTTTGGTATTCCTGATTTTCTGAATTTCTGAGTTTCTGAACTGTTGAATTTATTTTTCTCGATTTCTGAATGTCCGAAATTCTGAGTTTCTGAATTTCTGAATTTCTGAATTAAGAATGTTCGTAGTTCTAAATTTCCTAATTTTCTAATTTTCTCTGAATTCCTGAATTTTGTAGTTTTTGGAATTGAAAGAAACTCGCCAATCTCGGAATCTTGGAATTTTGAAATTCCAGAATTCTGGATTTTGAAAACTTTCTAGAAGTTGAAATTTTGGATTTTGAATTTTGCTGGAAACCTGTAATTTTTTCAATTCAGAAATTCAGAATTTCAAAAAATTCAAAAATTCAAAAAGTTCAGAAATTCAGAAATTCAGAAATTTTCTCCAAAATCGGGATTTAAAAATCGAACATTTCCAAAATGTAAATTATAGATTTTTCAACTTTCTCAAGTTTGAAAAAATCCAAAATTGGCTGAATCCAAACAATCTACGGATTTCTCCATAAGTTTAGTTTCCTCTGAACTTTTTCCCTTTCATTTTTTCCTCTTAAATCTTTCTCTCTCCGTCTCTCACTTTTCCATTCTCTCTCACCAGCTCTCTTCCAGTCGATCAGCTTAAAAAACACAGAGCCGACTCATCTGATTAATCCAGAAAGGAAAAGCATCAAGACGTGTGTCCCTCCCAAAAAAAAAATTAGGCTCCGCCCCTTTTAGCTTCTCCTTTTTCCTTCGTTTTCTCCTTAAACGACGAAGACTTTAGAAAAGAGAAAAAAGAGAAAAAAATCTCTGCTATTCGCCTTATTCATGAAAAATTTATTCTCACTAATTTCTGAATTCTCTACTTTTACTCTAACGGCAACAACACACGTCTTCTGAGGATTCTGAAATTCTGAAAAGTCTGGAAAAAAAATGAATCTTCTGGATCCGAACGTTCCACGTCATCTTGTAGAAGACGTTGAGAAACGAATGAAAAACGAGAAGGGTTGGCAGTTGGCTAGAGCGAGTGAGTTTGTGTCCTTTCGGATAGAAAGAACGTCTTCTAAAACTTCTTGGTGACGTCGTCTAAATTAATTGGAAAATGATTTTCTAAAATTTTTTCAAGACTTTGTTTTAAAATCCAGCTTTTTCTTTGAATTATTTTCCCGAATTTCATAAATTTTGGAAAAAAATCATTTTCGAAAAATGTGTAGAATTCTGATTTTTTTGAAAATTATTAGTTCCTTGTCAGAATTTGACGGAATCTGATAAATAAACTTTTCAGAATTCTAGAAATTTTCTATGTTTAGATTTTTGAAATTCTTTGAATTTTTGGATTTTCGGAATTTTCAAAATTTGCTGAAAATGCTGATTTTTCAGAAAATAATTCTGAATTTTTACAGATCTTCCGAAATATTCAATCATAAGGAATTCGATTTTTTGAATTTCTGAATTTTTGATTTTCTGAATTTCTGAATTTCTGTATTTCTGAATTTCTGAATTTCTGAATTTCTGTATTTCTGAATTTCTGAATTTCTGAATTTCTGAATTTCTGAATTTCTGAATTTCTGAATTTCTGAATTTCTGTATTTCTGAATTTCTGAATTTCTGAATTTCTGTATTTCTGAATTTCTGAATTTCTGAATTTCTGAATTTCTGAATTTCTGAATTTCTGAATTTCTGAATTTCTGAATTTCTGAATTTCTGAATTTCTGAATTTCTGAATTTCTGAATTTCTGAATTTCTGAATTTCTGAATTTCTGAATTTCTGAATTTCTGAATTTCTGAATTTCTGAATTTCTGAATTTCTGAAATTCTGAATTTCTGAATTTCTGAATTTTCGAATTTTTGAATTTTTGGATTTCCGAAATTCTGAGTTTCTGAATTTCTGAATTTTTGAATTTTTGAATTTCTGGATTTCCGAAATTCTGAGTTTCTGAATTTCTGAATTTCTGAATTTCTGATTTCCTTTAAATTTCTGACATTTTTGACATTTCCTAAACGTCATTTGATTCCAGAAAATCCTTCTAGAATCCAGAATCTCTCCCCTCACGTCATCTAATCTTCCTCCATATACAATTTTTTTTCTATTTCTAGAGACCTAAAAAAATCTTCTCACGCCCCAAAACCCAGAAATACTTCTTCCAGATATTTCTGGAAAATTCTAAAATCAAGGTTTGCATTGCTCAGCGCAGCATTTTTTTGAACTTTTTGTCATTTTATGTCTTCTTTTTGATTGCTAAAAGTTCCCCATTCTTCTCCTTTCACCCAGTTTTGGACCCTAATTTCATTTATTTACCCCTTGGGAAGAACAAAAAATGGGGGGAACCCAAAAAAAAAGAGAAGACAAGAAAATTCGGATTTGTTGGAAGAATTCTTTGGAGCGAAACAAAGGAATGGGATGGAAGTTCGGTGAGGAAATTGGAAGCAATTGAGAATTTGGAAGAATTGAACTTTCGTTTGAATTTTTTAAAATAAAAAAATTATTGAAATTCTGGTTGCTGGGTTTTTGTAAATTTTGGAATTTCAATTACCGTAAAACCTGTATTAGAAGGGCCGGCCCTTCTATTTTTCCGGCCAGTTTTCCCCCAAAAATTTTGCATTGAAAAATTCGATGAAGTTTCGTTCAAAATTCATGAAAATCTGCCAATTTCACCAAAATTTAGCAAGATTTTTATCGGAAAATAGAGTTTCAACAAATTTCTATTCAATTGTGGAGTTCCCGCAATATTTTTCACTTAAAAAGTACGAAAATTTTCTGGCTTCAAAACTCATTTTATAGTGTGGTCCTTTTTCATAGAGGGCACTTCTATCGGCTCCGCGTCGCTTCGAAACCGGTCATTTCGAAACCAGTCATTTCGAAACCAGTCATTTCGAAACCAGTCATTTCGAAACTATGTGACACTTTGAAACCGGTCATTTCAAAACCGAAAAAAAACTCGGTTACGTAAAAATGAAATTGAAAAATGTAAATTTCGCAGTTTCGAAATGACTGGTTTCTAAATGACTGATTTCGAAGTGTCACGCAGTTTCGAAATGACCGGTTTCGAAATTTCGCGGAGCCCTTCTATCACGAGGGCTCTTCTATTTTTCCAAGCCCCTCTCTGAGGGCTCTTCTATTAGAGGGGCCCTTCTATTAAAGAGGCCTTTCTTATACAGGTGTTACGGTATGAGGTTGAAATTCAAGATTGTAAATTTTGAAAAAAAAATTCAGTAACTTAATTTTCGAAATGCTGAAATGATCTGATCTGAATATCCGTTTTTCCCAATCATTTTTTCTGAATTTTCCGAATTTTTGAAATTCTTTCATTTCTTGAAAAATTCAGCTTCCTTTATTTGTTTTGGAAACTTTGAGACAATTTCTGAAAATGGAAACATTTGATTTTTAGAATTTTCGAAATGTCCGAATTTTCTGAATTTCAAAGTTCCTCTGAACTTTTGAATTTTCCAAATTCCTTGTATTTCACTTTTTTCTCTGATAGCAGATACTTTGTTTCCGGTCTTCCCCTCCCATTCTGACGTCGCAAAATGAGACTTTTCTCGTGCTCTCTGCGTCTCTCACCTTCCTATACTATCTCGTCAGAGACATCGTAAAACTTTTTTTGAGTAATACGGGAGAAAAAAGGAAAAAGATATCTCTTTTCTGAAAAAAAGTAGGGACCTTAAAGGGAGAGAGAGAGAGACACAGAGAGAATTAATTGACTTTTTTCGTCTGAAATCTGTCTTATGGGGATGATAGGAATGCCAAGTGACAAGTAATACTTTTTGGAGAGCTCGAGGAGCTCAGGAGCAAAAAAGTACACATTGCTCAGCTAAAGACGAGCAGACCAGCATCAGAATTTGTTAGTTTTCGATTCTTTTTGGAATTTTGAAGTTTTGAGTTCTCCTGGAGTTTCAAAGTTTTGGAAAGTTCATAATTTTTTAGATTCTAGAAATTTCAACTTTGGGTTTTGAAAATTTTCAGCTTTCTTAAGAAGAATTTCTGAAATTCCTTGTTTTTTGGAAAACAGAAAAAATTTGAAATCCAATAAAAAAGGGAGTTTGAGCAGAAGATTTTTTTTCATTTAATTGTTTTTTTGTTGGAAAAAAATAGGAAGATTTTTCTGGCTGGAAAAGTTGGAATTTGCAGGGAATCTAGAAATTCGGGATAATTAGAATTCTGGAATTCTGAAATTCCAAAATATCGCTTTTCTAGATTTTTAGATTTTCAGAAATACGAAAAATTAAAAACTTCCAAAATCCTGAGTTCTGAAATTCTGAAACTCAGAAATTCAGAAATTCAGAAATTCAGAAAGTCATAAATTCAGAAATTCAGAAATTCTGAAATACTGAAATTCTAAAAATTCTGAAATTCTGAAATTCTGAAATTCAGAAAGTCAGAAATTCAGAAATTCTGAAATTCTGAAATTCAGAAGTTCAGAATTTAAAATTTCAGTTTTTCTGTAATTCAGAATATCAGAATTTCCGAATTCTCGAAAACTTCAGAAAACGTCATTTTCACCTCCAAAAACGTCTCCAATTTTCCCTCGTTTTCCGCCTATTGTGCATCCTTTTTTTGTGCTCAATTCTTCGTTTTTTTCTTTCTTTGGGCCTCCAATTCTATTTTTAAAAATGATCGATTCCTTCAGAAAACTCCTAGTAGAGGTTTACGGCTTCCATTTTTCTGGGTCCAGGCATATTTTTTTGGCTTAAAAATTTCTTGAAATTCTTGAAAAAAAAACATCCCTTTTCTTTTAATTTTGTAGAATTGGAATTTCAGAAATTTTAGTTACAAATTTTCAATTTCCCGGAAACAAAAACCCCATTTACCACTCATTTTTCTCTGCAAAAAAGGTCAAATTACCATTTTTTTGGAAATATTTTTTCCGCAAAAAAAGTAGTTCACTATCATTAAGAATTCTCTCGTCGTCCTGTCCTTCAGAATTTGAAATTCAGAATTTTTGATTTTGAGAAACACTTTTTTTTCTGAATTTCGTAATTTCTGAATTTCTGAATTTCGATGTTTTTCAAATTTCGAGATTCTGAAATTCCAATTTTTCCAGACTTTTCCCCAAAAAAAGGTCTACCCAATTCCTCCAAAATATTTATGTATTCCGAAAATTTCTTCTATCCCTCTCTTCTTCTTTTTCTATTTTTTCTGTTTTCTTTTTTCCAATTTCATTGAAAAAAATCGGAAAATTTATTTATTTATTTTGCCCTACCGGTCAGGCCTGGATAAAAAAATGGGGAAAAAAAAAGAAATTGAAGATAGGATAAAAAAGAAGAGCCTTTTTTATTGCCCTTTGCTTCAGGAAAAAATAGGCTCCGCCCACTTTTTCTTTTTCGAAAAAAAGGGAATAAAGGAAAATAAAAGGATTTTCTCGGATTTTTCTTTTCGAAATTCTCCAATTTCCATTTAAGACGATTATCGGAATTTCGGTTTCGGAGATTTCGGTTTTTTCTTTTTTTTTCAGTTTCTCTTTTTTTTTAGTTTCTCTTTTTTTTTTTGAAAAATGAAAAGTTCTAGAACAAAGCGGACTTTTTTGGAATTTTGAATTTCCTAAAATCTGAAATTCAATTTTTTGAAAAATCTGCATCTCTAGTAGTGGAGTAGCTCCCGTTTTCCAAAAATGTGCTAGCCGCGACGCAACCGCGCCGCGCTCTTTCATTTTCAAATAACTGTATCTCGGTTCATTGTTATGCTAAAGACTTGAAATTTTTAGAAAATGTAGATAACGTATCAATCTTCATTTTCATCAAGCTTCCTCTAGCTTGGTTCACTAGTCTTCGAGTAACCGCGACGCGACCGCGTCGCACCACTTCTTATACTTCAAACCCCTGTATCTCAGCTCCCAGTAGTTCGATTTTCGAAAAACTTTTTTTGAATTTTGTATTTCTTTACAAACAATATCGTCTGGTCATTTCTAATTTTTTTTAGCATTTTCCTCAACCTTCAAACTTTGTGATCCTTGAGAGACACTGAAAAAGTTGCTTCCCCCCCCCCCCCCCCCCCCTATAATTATGGTTTTGTCTTTTTCGTATTCTATGAAAAGGTCACAAGATGATTACACCCTTCTTCATTTTCTCGAATAATTTCTTTTCTGACACAACTTTGGAGAAAAATTTTATGAAAAAAATTTCCAAAAAATTTTTTTTTTGAATTTTGAATATTTTTTCAAAAACAAACTTTCTAGACCAAAATTTGATCATAAACCCAATTTTCCTAATTATTTTTCATTGCAGGACGCGGTAATATGAAAGTGGTCCGTCACACACGGGCGGCACACAGCATGGACGAGAGCAACGATCGAGCGACCCGGAAAATGTCGGCAGAAGCGGTGTCGCGGAAATCGTCATTTGTTAATAGTCGAATTGTGAGTTCTTGGCCGATTTTTGACAAGTTTTGTGGGGAAAATTGAATTTCCGGACACCGAAAACCTATACTTCGGATTTTGAATTTCGAAAATCGGATTTTTTTGAAATAACATCTTAATTTTAGATTTTTTTTAGTCAAAAAATATTCAAAAATAACCCAATTTTTTCTCAGAATCACTAGAGTCTATTTTGGACCAAAAATACGTCGGAAAAATTTTTTGCAGCTAAATCGAGGGTCTCGTAATCACCCAACATTGAATGGCAGTGATGACGCTGAATGCAGAAGCAATGATAGTTCATTGAGGTAAGGTTTAGGCATTTCAGGCTGGTTGAGGCATTTTCAGGCATTTTCAGGCATTTTCAGGCGGACTTTATCAGACCAAAAACGATTCTGTAGGCCTCTCTAGACTTTACAAGCGCTCTGAGGTCATTCCAGGCTCTTCTAGGCCCTCTAGGTCCTTCTAGTTCCTAGAATCTTCACCAAACCTATTCCCGAGTAGTTTTCGAATTATCTTTTTTTTTTCTAGTCAAAAAAATTGGGGTTTTCTCCTTTTTTCCCGCACACTCTTTGTTTTTTTTCATTTTCTTCACAATTCCTTCTGATTCCAGGGATCTGAATGTCTTGTGACTTTGATTCTCTGGAATATGTAGACGTCGTCGTCGACGACGACTACAAACAGAAAAAAAATTGTTGGATTCTGATTATTTATTTCATTTTAATAATGAGAAGAAGATTTTTCAAAACAAAAAACATTTGATTTTCTTTTTTTCGCTCGAGATGACCGAGTATTCGATTTTCGGGGCTAGAATTTTTGATCTCTGAAATGCTAGAATTCTCAAATTGATACTGATTTATAAAACAGGAAATCCTCTATAATTTCCAAAAAATTTGAACTTTCTAGCTCACCTGTTAGCTGAGATACAGCTCTTTAAAGTTCTGAAGAGACGCAGACGACGAGACACTCTGCGTCTCTAACCTTCCAAACTTCAAACCGTTGTATCTTGGTCACTAGACAAGTTGGAATGCTGATTTTTTCACTAAATGAAATTTGAGGGAGCTAGAAATTGGATTACTGTTATAATTTGAACACTTTGTAAAATTTTGAATGTTCAAAATTTTCGAATTTGTCAAAGATTTTAGTTTATCCTAGAATCGACATTTTTCTCAAATCCTGTGTAGAAACCAGCTTTCTAGCTCATCTGGGAGCCGAGTTACAGCAACTTGAAGTTTTGAGGTTAGAGACGCAGAGTGTCTCGTCGTCTGCGTCTCTTCTGACTTTAAAACGCTATATTTTGGCTTGAAGACACGCTAGAAAGATGGTTTTTGTGTCAGAATGTGTCTCGGAAAATGAGAATTTTCAAAGTATACAAAAACCAAAACACACGAGTCTTCTAGCTTATCTGGAAGCCGAGATACAGCGATTTGAAATTTCAGAGGCGAGAGACGCAGACAACGAGACACCCTAACTGTCTTCTACCCGCCGTATCTCGGCTCGCAGACACGCTAGAAACTTGATTTTTATTGCATTTTCCTTCTCCTAACCCCTAAACTCTTCTCATCTTAAAATTTTCCATATTTTCAGCGTCCGCGACGGTTATCAATACGACGAACCTTCCTGCTCGGAGCCGATAGACGACGGTGGTACTCGACGAGCAAGATCAGTGACTTCTTCCCGAATCTCGTTGTTTTTCGTAAAGGACAATAAAGAGATGTTGAGAATTTTGAATCAGCGAAAAGAGGAGACCGATCAGGAGTACGCGAACTACAAACTAGAAAAGGACTGGAGAGAAATTGTCAAGGACTATCGAAATTTGTCGGATAAAAGTGTCAAACAACAGGAGGCGATTTGGGAGATTGTGGCCACCGAGCATCGGTATATCAAACTGTTGAGATACCTCTCCGAGCTGTCGTTCTATATTACCGATTTGCAAAGTTCCGGATTTTTGAAGTGAGTTTGATTATTTTGAAAGATAGAGAAAAATGAAAGCAAACCCAGAAACTTTGGTTGTTCTGAGGCGTCTGGGAGCCGAGATACAGCGCTTCAAAGTTTTAGAGGCTAGAGACGCAGACGACGAGACAACCTGCCTCTCTAACCTCTTCAACTTTAAATCGCTGTATCTCGGCTGCTAGGCGACCTAGAAACATGATTTTTGCGCCAATTTAATTTTTGAGGAGCTAGAAATTCAGAAATTATGGAATTTTTAATTTTTTTAATTTTTTGAACGTTTGAAAAATTTTGAATTTATCAAAGAGTTTTCGGTTTATTATAGTATCAAAAAATTTTATGAGGATCTATGCAAAAACCAACTTTCTGGCTTATCTGGGAGCCGAGATACAGCTTTTTGAAGATTTGAAGAGACGCAGACAGTTAGAGTGCATGCGTCTCCAACCTTCAAAACTTTAAATGGCTGTAACTTGGCTCCCAGGATAGCTAGAAATGCGATATTTATTGATTTTTGTATATTTTCCAATTTCTGAGTTTCCAAGGTACATTCTGACGCAAAAATCAGATTTCTAGCGCTTCTAGAAGCTGAGATACAGTAGTGGAGAGGCGCAGACGACGAGACACTCTGCGTCTCTAGCCTCCTGAACTTTAAAGCGCTGTATCTCGGCTTCTAGAAGACGGAGAAACGTGGTTTCTGGCTCAAAATCTTCCTTATGGTTTCTGAATTCTTTCCAGCTTTTCAATTGAGATGAAACATCTTTCAGAGACATTCAAAATCGTCTAGAACTGTTTGTTCAATTGTGTAACGTCAATTACGATTCCCTTTGGGTCCAATCGATTGACCCGTTGCTCAGACACTCCCGAGAAACTGGCGAACCGTTGGACGTCAACTTTTTGCACAATGGATTCAGAGACATTGAGAGCTGGTCACGATGCTATGCGAGTTTTCTCATGACTCAAAGCGATTCGATGAAATATATTCAAAAACGGACGAAGGATAATGAGCAGTTTAGAGATTTTGTGACGGTTAGTTTTTTTGTGAAAGTCAAAATTACTTTGAACTTTCGTAATTTTTCAGTGGGCCGAGTCCCAAGAGACCCTAGATCGCCAAAAGTTGATCGACACGTTCTCCCAACCGATGCAACGACTCACCAGATACAAATTGCTTCTTTTGGTAGGTTTTTCATTTTGCCAATCAAAAATTTCTCATATCAGAAAAAATTCTGATTTGATGATAAAGATTTTGCACCAAAAACCAAGTCTCTAGGCCTCTTAGAAGCCGAGATACAGCGATTTGAAGTTTTTCGAGAGACGCAGACAGTTAGAGCGTATCGTTGTCTGCGTCTCTAACCTCCAGGACTTGAAAGCAATATATCTCAATTTCTAGACAAGTTAGAATGCTGGTTTTTTCAACAAATTGAATTTGAGAGAGCTAGAAATTGAAATACTGTTAAAATTTGAACATTTTGTAAACTTTTGAATTTTCAAAAATTTCGAATTCGTCAAAGATTTTAGTTTATCCTAGAATCGACATTTTTCTCAAATTCTGTGTAAAAACCAACTTTCTAGCTCCTCTTGGAGGCGAGATATAGCGGTTTGAAATTTTTTGAAGAGACGCAGACAGCTAGAGTGTCTCGTCGTCTGCGTCTCTAGCCTCTGGAACCGTAAAGCGACGTATTTCGGTTCCTAGTTGAGCTAGAATGGTCGTTGTTGCACTAAATTGGTTCTTGAAAAGCTAAAAATTGGAAAATTGTAGAAGTTTAGGCATTATGAAATTTTCGACTTCCAAGAACAATCAACTTTCTGAAAAACTTTCAGCTTATCATAGAAGTCAAAATTCAATGAAGATTTGTGCAAAAATGAACTTTCTAGCTTATTTAGGAGCCAAGATAAAGTAGTTAAAGTTAAAAGAGACGCAGACAACTAGACACTCTAACTGTCTGCGTCTCTCTCTCTCTAATTTTCCAATCTTTTCCAGGCCGTCCAAAAAGTGACAGTAGACAAAAACGAGTGCGAAATGCTTCAAACGCTGGTAGACTGCACGGGAAAAGCGATATCGCAACAAGACTGGGAGCTGAACAATAACAACTTGCGTGCCAAACTAGAAGACGTCATGAAGACTATCGATGGACCGGAATTTGTGGATATGGACGAGTTGGACAGAGCATTTAAACTTCAATTACCCCTAAATCTTGGTGCTTTTATGCCACTGCTTAACCCACGAACTCCAACGTATCGCGAGATTTTTCATCGAGGAGATTTGAGAATGCAGGAGGGGAAAAAGGGGTCCAAAATCGATGTGCACTGTATTATCTTCACTGATATGTTCCTAATTTGTCGAAGAGTTCAAGCCAAAAAGGATCGACTGAAAATCCTGCGACCTCCAATTCATGTTGGCAAAATTGTGTTTCATTATTTCCAAGATCAAAACGGATTCTCATTGCTCAGCCTTACCGACTTCCACAGCCCAGCTGCTCTCTACTCAATGTATACTTCTGGTCCCGAAGAGACTTTGCGATGGACTGAAATGTTGAAGAACGCAATTGAAGACTTCAAACGCATCCATCAGGCATCGTGGTCTCAAAAGGATCAAGGATCGCCGATTGATGAATATGGGCGGGGCTTGTTCATCGAGAACAGTAACCCGTATTCTCAGAGAATGATGCCACCTGGATACGCGTCGCAACAGAGTCAACACATGCCGGTTATACATCGGAAAGCGAGTAGTATGGACTCGCAGGCCGTCGCTGCGAGTTATGCACATTTGAATTGTAAGTTTTTTTTAAAGGAAAATTTTAAGGATTTTAAGAATTGAGATTACTGTAGATAGTCTATTAGACATTCTGTCCAAATCCTATAGAAATCGGTTCACTGGGAGCCGAGTTACGTTGCGCAAAGTTTTGAGAGACGCAGACAACGAGACTCTCTTGCTGTCTGCGTCTCTCAGAAATTTCAAATGGCTGTATCTCGGCTTATAGAAGAGCTAGAATGCTGAAATGGTATCTATACAGAACCCAAACATTGCCAATTTCAAACAGTATCAAAAGAAAAGTTTTGAAAGTGAGAGACGCAGACAACGAGACACTCTTGCTGTCTGCGTCTCTCCGAAATTTCAAACGGCTGTATCTCGGCTTATAGAAGAGCTAGAAATCTAATTTTTCTTGATTTTTTAATTAAAATTTTCACATTCTTTGAAAATTTGAGAAATTTCAAGATTTTGAACTTTTTGGGAATTCTTAGTTTCAAAAACTATTGAAATTTTTGGTTTTTTGAATTTCTCAACTTGCCGACGGTCCTAAAAAATAAAAAAGCGCTGAGAAGTCAATAAATTTTTAGGAAGTTCAGAAATTCAGAAATTCAGAAATTCAGAAATTCAGAAATTCAGAAATTCAGAAATTCAGAAATTCAGAAATTCAGAAATTCAGAAATTCAGAAATTCAGAAATTCAGAAATTCAGAAATTCAGAAATTCAGAAATTCAGAAATTCAGAAATTCAGAAATTCAGAAATTCAGAAATTCAGAAATTCAGAAATTCAGAAATTCAGAAATTCAGAAATTCAGAAATTCAGAAATTCAGAAATTCAGAAATTCAGAAATTCAGAAATTCAGAAATTCAGAAATTCAGAA